GAGTTTGTGCAGTTTGGGTTCCTAAATGAACTTCCCAACCCATCAAGCAAGTGCTGGTTGTGAGAACCAGAGGGTCTGGAAGGCATATGGAGAGGTCCTTGCAGATGTTGCCTGGGACTGTCGATTTTAGGGAATCATGCACTTGATTTGGGACCAGCATTTGATCTTTCATGCACTCAGGGGAGCAGTTCCATATTTTGAGCAGAAGGCCTGGAGACATCTGATGTGTGATCTTGTCCATGGAGTGATCCTTATGCACAACACAAGAAGGCCCAATAGCTGAAGACACTGAGCCATGCTGGCCTTGTGCACTCTCAGTGATGGACAGACTTTCATCATCGAGGTGTCCATGTCCACTCTCAGGTGTGATATCCTTGTTGAGGGAATCAGTGAACTTTTCTTTACAATTTATTACAAAATCATGCACCTGCAGGAGGTCCAGAGTCTGAATCGTGGCATTGTGTGCGGCAGTCTGGGTCAGAGCTCTGACTGGGATATTGCCCAGAAAGCGGTAAAGGTGGTTCCCCCCGAGACCTGAATCTGGCAACAATCACCATAAGAGTCTTTGTAAAGACTTGGGAGGAGGAGGGGAGGGGAAATGGGAGCATTCAGAACTGGTAGTGATCTGTGCCATACACAAACCTCAGAAGCTTGCGGTGACATGGGAGTAGGGGAATATGAAGCTACACATCTGCTAGATCTACTGACGCTAGGAGGTCCCCTTGGGATAGAGATGACACCGGGGAGGCCAGGGACTCTATCCTAAATCTCATAGTCTTTATTCACTTGTTGAGCCTCTTGAGGCTGGGGTGGGTTTGCCTGCCCCACTGCTATTCTGAACAATAAAGATGGAGCAGAACCCTGAGAACTTTTCTTCTAAGGGAGCTCCTTCTATTGCGCCTGCATCCCGGAGCTGGGAGACCTTGTTCCAGATAAGTTCATACTTTGCTGAGTCAATGGATATGGGGGAGGGATGAAGAAGGGATGGCATGGAGCCCGTAGCTCAAGGGCGCATCCCTGATTCACTCTCTCACTGGTCTGTGGTTGACACAGACCATTCTTCTGAAAAGTGGGAAATCCTGCCTCCTAGAGCCAGATCCAGGCACAGCCAGATTTGGTCGTTGTCATGCTGGGTTATTGGGGGCTGAAGGACCACCCTTGAACTTTCCACTACAGCCTCGGTCCCAGGACTTACTATTGTCATTTTGGGTATCCTTCCTCTGATACATCTGTGAGGAGGAGGGGCGAAAGGAGTGTCTCTGCCTGAAAGTGGGCTTGTATGCCCTTCGTAGAACACGTGGCAGAAAGGGGAAGGCCTGCTTTGATTTTTGCAGCATTTTCTGACACTATCTTGTCCAGCTTTTCTCCAAAGGGGAGAGATCCTGTGAACTTGGAGGAGCATAGGACATGCTTGGAGTGAGCATCTACTTTCCTGAGCAGAAGCTCCAGGCTGGTGCCCTGGATGCCATGACCCTGGCTGAGAATCTCATTGTGTTCAGCAAGGCCTTTGCCACAAATGCAGCTGCCAGGGAATCTTTCCTAAGTGCAGCGCCAGTGTCAGGGTGGTTTCTGTCCGTTGGGCCCTGAAGCCCACCAGCCAGCATTGTGTTGTTCTCAGAAAGCATGTGGCTGACAAGGACACTCTGAGGGCGATCAAGGAAGCTTCAACATCCCTTTTAAGGGTGGCTTCCAGTCGCCTGTTAGGTCCTTTAGGGAAGAATTCCTCTTCTGAAGGAACAACCATGTAGCTCAGGACTCTGCTGCGGCATCAACCTTTGGGACTTCAGTAAGAACATTCTTTGGGTCTTGCAACTTGTAGAACCTAACCTCATGCTTGCTGCTAAATTTACCTGTGCCAGGCTTTTCCCATTCTTCCCTGATTACGTCCTCGAAGGAGGAGTACAAGGGGATCGCTATCTCAGGGACGGATCTGGAGTGAGAGTATTTTCTTTGAGGCTTATCTTCAGGGGCCTGCTCAGATTGAATCTGTATTGTGGCCATCACCTTTTTGCACTCAGGTTTTGGAAAAACTGCAACAATTTTTTTCTCCTCTGCTCAGATTCAGATCCCGAAAGCTTGCCTTCCTTGGCAGAGGAGGAGTCTGCATCAGAAGCGGAGTACCTTCTGGATTTTTTATGTACTTTTTCTTCCCCTCTTTATTCTTTTTGGACTTTTTTGGCACACAGTTGTTTACAGCTTCCTTTTGTGCAGAGCACTCTAGAAATTTCGCCCCGGAAGTCCTCCACTTCAGGATCTAATATCTCCAGAGTGTGTGTGTGGTCTCATAATCAGAGTTCTCTGGCTTGTTTTGGGAGGAAGGGGGGCTGGATATAAGCCCGGCTTCTCTCCCAAGGCTACCCGAGACCTATTTCCAGATTTGGGGGTGGGGCGAGGAAGAGTAAGAGGACTGGTAACCATGCGGGAGACTTATGTCTATGGTCCTGTGTCACCCCAGGATTTACTCCTGGCTTGTCTGGATGTAGTGGTTGTCCTCAGAGTCTCTGTTCTGCCCTTGGTCTTTTTCTGTGGCAATCATGGTTACTTGGAGGGGATAGGGGCCCCAACATGACTATCTGACCTAGAGCCTCGTGCCCTAGCAGCAAGAGGGTTAGCTGGGTGGCAGCAAGCTGCTCCTGGGAAAGATCCCTCACATCTAGAGCCCCATTTGTACTCAGCCCAGTGCTTGCACAGCGGCTCTGTCATGTCTGTAATGGGGCAGAGGAGCTCAGGAGGAAGCAGGTGCATTAGAGGTTTTGGGGGGCAGTACAACACTGCTGCACAGCTCCTGGAGGAGGAGTAAGATAAAAGAAAAAAGGCTTGTTACTGCACAAAAATGGCGATAAAAAATAAAGATAACAGGAAGGGATGGACGTAAATGAAACAACACTTGATTGCTGTCGCAGAGGCAGGAGACCTGTTGGAAAGCAGGAAAAGGAGAAAGGGTCAGCATACACTATGCTGCAGCTTAGAACGGCCTCTGGGAGTTGCAGAGTAGAGGGGAGCAGCCGAGCCGTATCAGAATTGTGGGAGATGCTGGGCTGCAGAAAATACCTGGAGCAGAGTTACACCACGAGAATGTTGTGCACAATATTGAAACAAAATGTGATTGATAACTAGAAAGCTCTTCACAGGCTTGCATGTTGTGTCAAAATGAAAAATTGTATACAAAGTTCAGAAAGCCAAAGTTCATATATTTTAAATCCATCTTTCTTAGCTTGGTTGTAGAATCTGATTGTAAAATAGTTCTGACATTATAACATCTTTTGGTTTTGTCTGGAATTTCCAAAGGCTCTTTGAAAGTCGGTGAAAGAGCGTAACTCCTTTAGCTGCTTTTGAAAAGTTCACTCTGAATATTCAGTGTCACAGCTGGTCTCCTTTTCAAGCCCACTTATGTGATCATCTGATCGAAACCAGTGGATCTCAACCAGGGGTCCGGGGCCCTCTGTGGGGCTGCGAGCAGGTTTCAGGGGGTCCACCAAGCAGGACCAGTATTAGACTTGCTGGGACCCAGGGCAGAAAGCCAAAGTCCCACTGCATGGGGTTGAAGCCCAGAGGCTTGAGCCCCTCCACCCAAGGCTGAAACTGAAGCCTGAGCAACTTAGCTTCATGGGGCCCCCTGTGGCATGGGGCTCTGGGCAGGTCCCCTGCTTGCTACCCCCTAACGCTGCGCCTTGCTTTTATATGCAGAAAAACAGTTGTTGTGGCACAAGGGGGCTGTGGAGTTTTTAATAGGACACTGGGGGGCCTCAGAAAGAAAACTGATCTAACCTGTTTATGAAAGAGAATGTGAACTCAACTCAGAAAAGTTAACCAGTGAGAAATAAAAGATGAGAATGGGGTCATTTTAAAAGCATATCTTTTAAATTAGGTAGATTGTTGCTTGTTCATTTGGATAATAATGTGGACTATGGTTCTTTTCACTTTAAAGGCTATATGTATTGTTAATCCAAGTAATAACACTTCTACTATCAGAAGATAACACTGCTTCATTTCATAGCAATGTGCACATTGGCCAGAAAAATACCACATGTAAAATTTGGTTTTCTTACTTAGCAGTTATGCAACATTGGCATTCAAAAATAATCTGTTTATGAATCATTGTATGAGTGGCAAGGAGAACACTCTCTCTGTTTAAAAGTTAAGACTCAGACTACTCCTTGGCTCCCAAAAGCTCTTCAGTCCTTCTCCAGTTGAGTTTGCTTTGCAAGTGGTTTTTCTAGGGGAATCTTTAATAGGGTTTAAACCATTTTAAATAAACAAGCACACATTGTTCTGTAGGAATAGAAAGGGCAGGCAACATTCTCAGTGAATAGTGTTTAGTCACTTGAGAGATTTGCTTATAGATTTTTTTTTTAAAACTATCATTCCTTAACAGCATGGACCTACAAGGTGTTAAAGTCCCACTGACTTTTCTGGCACTTGAGGGCACTCTGCATTTCATAGGAGGGACTTGGCAACTGTGTCTATATATCTCCTTCCTTATTAATGGGGAGATACACTACAGTGCATAGTGTCCCTGGAAGCTTAAAGCCTTCAGCAGAGTTTGTGTGGTGACTAGGGACTTGGAAAGGCCACACTGAGTGAATTTCATCTTAAACTCTTAATGGAAAATGTCTGTTCAGCTGTAAAAACACTTGAATGCCATGAGTGCCCTTCTTATAATAATTTGGGCAGAGACTGAAAGTGAGAAATGTTGCCTATCCTTTCTTGAACCGTTCTCTATCAATGTCATCAAGACAGTTTATCCTCTTGAAATTACAGAAGAAAAGAAAAATAGGCAATGGGGAGTGAGGCAGAGAAAGTAAGGCTGACGCAAAATCCAATCACTTCTCGTGCTTCTAGGAATGGGGTTATCTCACAGCCATACAGCACCGTGCTAGCCATTATTACACTTATAACAGTGATGAAAAACTCTATATTCAAACTACAAATAAAACAACAAAAAATATCAAGCCCCTCTAATACAAACATACAAATAAATTAGACTACTGATGGTGGTATATCTTTCTGCCTTCAGTACAAGTTAGTGAATTTTATTGGTATCAGGTAAATTAGCTTGTATGTTCTCAGTTGTTTTATAGAAACTTTAACAATCAAAGAGATACTTGCAATGAACAACATAACAAAAAGTAATTTCTTAAACACATCTGTAACACAAGTATTCAAGCAGTTTTGATCTATGGCTTTAAAACGCGTAGCCCCTGCAAAAAAAGCACAACCTCTAGAGCGCTCACATTTGTCTCCAACCTGACAGCAGCTGTGAAGTTTATTTTACAGATACACAATAGCCCAATAAACTCCTGGATAAGAACCCAATTTTGAAGACAGGGGCCATACTGCAATTCAATAGCACTGCTCCTGTTGTATGTTTGTCTTTCCATGGATTGTTACATCAGTGTATTAAATTAAGAAATTAAAATTTTACAAAGGAAGACTCTGAGCTATAGCATTACATACATAATGATTTCCAGGCATGTCTGCAAAGGAAACTAAGCTACAGATGATAGATTGTAACGACATAAACTTCAAAATATGTAACTGAATGACTGATTGGGTCAATGAGACAAGGTGGGTGAGGTCATATCTTTTATTGGACCAACTTCTGTGGGTGAGAGAGACAAGCTTTCGAGCTTACACAGAGCTGAAGAAAAGCTGGTCTCTCTCACCCACAGAAGTTGGTCCAGTAAAAGATATGACCTCACCCACCTTGTCTCTCTGGTATCCAGGGACCAGCACAGCTACACCACCACGGCTGGAGTCAGTGTCAAGGATTAGCAACCTGCTCTTAATCTTTTCAAGCTTCTATTTAGGCGCTTTATACTAACACAGGGCATTTTACAAGTAACAATACAAGGCTACTTTAAGTTTTTAAATGTGCTTGTCTAATGCACTTTTCACATTCCAACAGAATACATTCTGTCCTCTTTTTATACCATTTGCTGCAGTATGCAACATAATCCTGATGGTAATAAATACATCAAACTGCCTCATGCTGCTTGAAATGAAAAACAACAAATAGTCAGTACGATTACACTTTATACACACAATCATTTAATGATTTTAAAGAAAACCAATTAAAAATTGCATTATTAGAGGTAGCCTTAAGATTACTTAAGCAAGGATGCTAATGACACATCAGTTGCAGTAAATCAGAACCCTACAATAACAAACAATAATATCCATGCAATGAAGCAATGGCAGTTCAGTAAATAATAGATTTGTTTCAAACTCCTAAGATGGTATAATTAACAGTGGGAAAAGGAGAAGTCATATGTCATTTTAAGATACAATAAGTCTTATTAAATCAAATGGCAATTTAAGGGGATTGTTGGTACATGTGCTTTGGTGGATTCTGGAATATTTGGTGGACTCTGGAATGCTAAACAGGCAGTGCTGAAGTGAACAGCTAATCAAGATGTTTTTCATAATTGTTTTAATTAAATGCACATTTGAAAGCTCTGTCATGACTTAAGGACACAGATGACCAGTGTGAGTTTGCTAAATTCTTCTATTAACTGTCTGAGCAGCAGAAATTTTTTTTGTAGATTCTAGAGGGAGGGGAAGAACAGTTGCTATTTTGATTTCTCAATGCCAGAGTGATGGATATTAAAGCAGGTGAGATATAGAGAGTCCAGATGGAATTTCTCATATTATAACAATGTAAAGGGACACTGTCAGGTCAACTATGTCCCAGAAGTGAGAGACATAAGTAAAAACCCTTCCAGAACCAACTGAAATCATTTAATGGTTTGGGGCAGGGGAGGCGGTGGGGGGCTGTCTTAAATTCCACCGGAAGATGCTTTTTAAAAAATTCCCTTGAAGTGTTGTGGGTTGAAACTGATGCAGCATGTTGTTAGTACATGGAATCTGAAAATAAAATTGAATAGATACTGGCTGGAAACAAAATAAAACAAATATTTTCATTGTGCCAGGTGAAAGAACTGCACATAATTCAATAAACAGCATAAATAACTAGTACACGAGATTTTGAACATTTTTAATAATCTGAGGTGATGTGAGCTATACTTTTTGTAAACATGATATTTACCCTTGTCAGTCTCCTTTTTAAAATGTTAGTTCAAATTTAATCTAAACTACTCTACTGTGTCCCCAAAAGAAATACCATTAATCTCTATTGCAAAGATAATGAGGTCACTGAAGTAAATGGAGTTACACCAGAGATGGATCTGTACAATCAAGTGGTCTACAGCAGTGCTTCTCAAGCTAGCTGATGTGGGGGATCGGCAATTTTTTTTTCCAATGTGCGTGCAGACTGGCAGCCGATGGCTCGCAGACCGACACCAGTCCACGGACCACCACTTTGAGTAGCACTGGTCTACAGTACAGTAAGTACGATAAAATCTTTAGTTAATTTAAAAGGGAAAAGTATTTTCCTAACTGTAAGAATCTTTAAGGATAAAAGTAGAGTTTTGAGAAATTGCAAAAAGTTGAGTGCTAAGGAGTAATAATTCCATTTAGCACTGTTATACTTAGGGGGCTATTATACATACAATGAATGTATTTATAAGTCTGAGAAGCTTATATAATCATATTTTGACATGTGCAGGCAGTAACTGTGTGATTTGTTTTTTAATCCAATCACAGAGTAGTATCCCAGTGATCTCTTCTCCTCAGGAAGCATAAGACAGTCCAGCTGGGTGTTGCTTTGATTGCCTGGCCAGTTTTTAAACTCATTTTGAATTAGGTTTATCTGTGGAGTTTAGTTTGAACAACTACTTCACAATATTGGTGAAAGACTTACTGCCATGGTATTAGGTATCTGGCAGATGGGGCAATTTAATTTGGCTTTTCCACATCCCAGGTGAGTGCTCTAACCAGTGGGCTAAAAGTTATAAAGTGGGAACCAGGCCCACTGCCTCCTCCGGCTGGGTTTTGAGTGGGACATTTGAGCACTCCTACAGTAGCGGACTCTGCACATGATTTAGATGGCTGAATCCCAGTCTTCCCTGGTTTGTGACTTGCTTTGGGACTTGGGCAGGAAATCAGCGTTCGACCGCATGCCCAGAGGCAGAAACAGAGGGGCCTAGGGCACTTTTACCCTGAAATGTTAGGTGCTGAGCGAGTTTAGGCACCTACAGAGTTAGGCAGGAGTTTTCTGTATTGCAGTAGAGCCACACCTGGCACTTAGACACCTAGCTCCCAGAATGCCTCAGTCTTTGAGTTGCTGAGCACTCTTGACTGCCTTTGTACTTGAATGGAGGTTGAGGGTTCTCATCATCTTACAGGATTGGGTCCATAATGCTGCTGCGGGATTGACATGGTGGAAAATGGCAAGACTAGCAAAAATGCATTATGGTACATTTAAAAACTGTGATGGTTTTGTAGAAATGAAGGAACAAACAAATTCTCTCTCATCACCCCTCATCCCTCCCAAACAGCATCTTTAATGTAGCTAGAAATGTTGTAGGAGTTAGGAATCTCATTTTTGCAGTGAAGTACCACAACTTCTAAGCATGATTGGAGACAGTGCTCTTTCCTGCATCTTTCATCTCTTTATAATAATCAACCATGGGGCAAGAGTCTTTTTATTGGTGGTGATGAGAGCTAACAGTTACTCACGGTAGGATAGTGAATTCAATTTATTATGTATTCCAGTGTTCCTGAAGCACAGTGATTGCAAAAGTACTATTAGTTAGCCCATCTATAGGGATTTTCATCTTCAAAGTGCTGTACAAACTTCAACCAATTTAATTCTAAAGCAAGAGTTCCTGTTTGAGAATGTGGAAATGGGAGGAAAATACTTACAATAGAAAAGATGCAGAGTGAGAATGTTCTGTATTAAAAGAAGACCCCCAAACACAGATTTCCTACCAAAATGAAAACCACATACTTTTACTCTCTTGATCTATTTTTCCTTGTTACTTATTTTCTTCTTTATTAAAAGTGTTTTTCTGACACACAGATCTGCCCTCCAGCTCCACATTTTAGAAACCAAAACAGAACATGCAAAGAGCTCTTGAAGTGGAAGCAAAATGTAAAAAAACCATGAGCGCATCCAGCCTCTGGGGGAAGAGGCCCTTTCCTAGGATTCCTGGCAACAGAGAAACTAGACGTCATCAACTGCTACCATGCAGTGGCAAAGTCATGGTGGTGCACCCTTTTGAAATGTTCATAGATAGGTCTTAGACCCCTTTCAACTCTGTCTTTCCAGGAAAAAATAATTTAACTTTTTTCTAGGGATTTTCACTTCTCTGAGTTGTGCGCCAGATCCAATAATGTATGTTTATACTGCAATGTTCTGAGCTTCCAGACCATTCTATTGTTCCTGACATCCAACAGCAAAGGTCAGATGCAGATCAGGATGAGCAGTCTTGTTCGAATGTGCAGTTACTTGCATTTCTAATTCTGAACACAGCACACACAACAGTGGGGTAGATTAGCTGTGTCCGACTTGCACATTGCTGTATAACTTGGTATTCAACCCCAAGAAACACTGATAATAAAATCGAGTAAAATGATGCTGTCCCAAAGAGCTGCTGGCAATATATCAGCCAGAATGGTCACAAACAATCTGTTATCTGTCTCTCTGTTCATTTGTCACAGATATTCTGTGCACTATATCAACCCCCTTGTACTCTCTTACCCCTCTGAATGCAGAACTTTAAGTCACCTGATGGCTATGCTGTATGATTTCACCAAAAATCTAAGCTACACAGTGTTATTTTTGGTATTTTGATTAAGTGACTGTAATATTTCAATACGAAAATTATATTTATCAGTTTTATAGTTCTTATCTTCAACAGGAGCTAATTTTGTCTTTCACCAGGCAGCTTGTTTCTGAATTGTGTTTGTTACAATGTCTAATTATTTAATAGTAACAGGAACGTCTTAGGCACTGGACAACATGGTGGATGTAAAGATCTGCTGCAAGATTTGGGGGATCTGCTTGGTATCCAGGGCAATAAAAGACCGGCCTGCTGGTAGCATCTTCTGCAGCCTAGGGATCAGAATGGGGGAAAAAAAGAATTACCATTACAAATTATGTTTCTGACAGCAAACCAAAGAGTCCTGAGAGTTCCTTAAGAAAGGATGTTTTTACTTTTGAATACCTTGCTGATACATGCCATTCACACTGCGGCACTATGCAATTAAAAGCTTGGGAAAGCAGCAGTGCAAGGAAACACTGAAAGCGGTTATGTCACAGAGGTCTTTTCAGCAAGACAACTGACCTGTTTCTACAGATTTCCATTCCTTTGTTATGGTCACTGTTTCTGGTGTGTGAAAATCTCTGCTGAGATTAAGGTACCAGTGACCAAACAAGGTATTAGCACAGCTGATCTTCTAGAAACAACTAAAAACTCACTCTCTGAGGGGGATCATTTAGTTCATTTAAAAATGTTACTGTACTAACCTGACAAAGTGTTTGGGAAACTTTAACTCCACCCCACAGAAACTACTGATTTTATCTGAAGTTTTATATATTGGCTATAAATGTGCGGTTGATACTTCAGCTTCTAGCCTAGGTTAAATTGAATTCATGTTTTTCTACAGCTGCTAGCCCGAGGCCTAAGGTAGTCAGCCTTGTACATTTTTATTCAAAGCTTTTAATAGTACACAAGATGTACATAACAAAATTCACATCACTAATATTTAATCAGCAGTTTTGGTGTATACTGTTTCACTGATTTTTTAAAACAAGTTTTAATTTATATTTGTGTCCCACTGTCATTTCCCTATAGACTATAAACTCAATCCCAGAGATCGCCCATTTGAAATGAAAATATAAGCCATGTGGAAAGAAAAATGAATAAAAACAACTCCCTTCCCGCCTTCCCACCCAAAATTATATTTTAAAGGAAAGCTTTGCTTAATTATGCACATACATGCAGTTGTATTTCAGTGACACTGTGTCATATATATATTCCAAATCTAGTAAATTGGTCAAATTGATAACCTCTTTTCCTCAAGGATGAATGTGAATGATGAACCCATTTTTCCAGTCAGAAAAATAAAACTCAATCTCCAATAATATTTCAAAATAGGAGCTCTTTATGGGAAACACAAACAATAGATTGATGGAACCTGCAGAAATTCAATGAACAGCAACCACTGTGCAGCTGCATGTTCCAAACCTTTTAAAATTATACCACATGTTGTGGCCTAACTCCTTCTGGGCTTGATCCTACCACCCTTTCAGTCAATGACTTTTTTTTTTAAAGTAGAATTGGCCCTTTAACATTAGTGGTAACTGGCACATGTTTATGATAGAGATAATAGCTTTGAATCGTATGTACCGGTGACTGGGCAGCAGATGCAGAAGGTTGGCTTGTATAAAAGTTCTCTGTCTCCCCTGTACCATCTCAAGCTATGACTAGGGCCCCACCAAATTCCCAGGCATGAAAAACATGTCACCGACTGTGATAGCTGATTTCCCACCATGAAATCTGGTCTTTTGTGTGCTTTTACCCTATACTATACAGATTGCACAGGCCAGACCAGCGTTTCTCAAATTGGGGATCCTGACCCAAAAGGGAGTTGCTGGGGGGTCGCAAGGTTATTTTAGGGGGATAGGGGTATTGCCACCCTTAACTTCTGCGCTGCCTTCAGAGCTGGGCAGCTGGAGAGTGGCAGCTGTTGGCCAGGTGCCCAGCTCTGAAGGCAGCGCCACCGCCAGTATCAGCACAGAAGCAAGGGTAGCAGTACCGCGACCCCCTCTACAATAACCTTGCGACCCCCGCACAACTCCCTTTTGGGTCAGGACGCCTACAATTACAACAACGTGAAATTTCAAACTGTAAATAGCTGAATTCATGAAATTTACAATTTTTAAAATCCTATGACCATGAAATTGACCAAAATGGACCGTGAATTTGTTAGGGCCCTAGTTATGATATAGGCTATGTGTATATATATGTGTGTGTGTTTGTCTATATATATATATATATATCTCAGAAATATAGTTAGTAGTTAGACTATATACGTGTATTTTTAACTCCCTCGTTAGGGAAGAGTCCACGGGTGCCGATTTGTGGCCAAAACCTTAATTCCGTAGTGCATTTATGCCTTTGAAAGCCGCTATCTTGGAGCCAGAGAACTGAATGGACTCTCTCTTGATGCCACCAATGTCTTGAACTGGCTGGAAAAAGTTGCTGATAAGTAGCATAAGGCCTGTGCTGTCACCATTGCTCATCAAACAACATGGGACAAGAATCAAATCTTACCTGTCACTTAGAGCAGAACTCTGCTTGTTGCTTGGTCATTGCACCGACATACATTTTTCTGAAAGCACTCTTTAGAGTCATGAAAACGGCAAATCATTGTATTTTTCAGGGACTAGCAGCAATATATTTACCTGTCTGCCTGGTCTCCTAAGGATCCTATGAATACGGCAAAAGCATTAACTTGAGGGTTGATGGTCAAGGTTTGGGCAAATCTTGCTGGTGGGATACCATATCGTTCAAGGTTTGCATCGCTTAAAACTATGACAAAATATTCGTCAGCCTCTTCTTTAGCAATTTCACGAACAGCATGCTCCGTCCCTTCCAGGGTATGGTCTCCGCTCATACAGAATTGAGCATGGGCGTGCATTATCTGGGTACACAACAAAATCAAAAGGAAATGTATAGAGAGAACTATTCCAAATAAAACATACATTCTAGCTGGTATGAAAGGGAGCAAACATTCTTCTAAGCCATATTAAGTGAAACACATTTATTAATGTGCATCCTGCTCCAGATTTTAGAGAATATGCAGCATTTTAGGATTCAGTCAAAGGTTCATTTCACTCAGTACAACCATAAATTCTTAAAATCCAATTTGCAATGTCAGAACTGGAAGAATCACATGGAGGGAATTTGGCTTTCAGAACTAGAGAGTGAAGAAGTAAAACACTATGGTAGGCTGGAGATTGGGTTTCCCCATTGCTATAGATCTGAGGGAGAATACCCTGACCAAATCCCATCTGTTCATAATGTATATTAGACTAATGGAGTTCAGAATGAAGTGTTATTGCCAAATATAAGACTCATGATCAGATTAAAGAATTTTGTGGCCCTATGCACTGTGGAAATGGGGCCCCCCACCTTTCTTAAAGTGCTTTCGTCCCATACATGCCACCCCCCGCCACAAATCGCAGAATGCCCCTCTCTCCCCACCCCACACACAGACCCCTGAATGCCCCTCCTATCCCACATATACCTACAATCCTTCACCACCCCACTTATCCTGACAGCCCCCCCCCCACACATCCCAGCAGCCCTAACATGCATCCCATTCCACAGGCCCCAGTATTCTGCACTTACCCCATAGCCCACCAACAACTCTCCCCAGCTCCTCACCACTGCCCTCCGACTCAATGCTCCCATCCCAGGCTAGGGCAGCTCCTCTCAATCCCAGTCGCCCAGCTCCACTCCCTCCCCTTTCCCAGCCCACATGCACACGGCCCTGAACTGCTCAGGTCTGGCCCAGCTACTCCTCCATCACGACAGAGGGGTGTTTGCCCCAAATCTGAGTGAGTGACGTTGTGACCCGGTGCACAAAGTGGCTGCAACACCCAATTTTGTTTTTGTTTGGTGGTGGGGGCCCTCTTTCAGTGGGGCTCCGTGAAAGTGCCACAAGTGAACATTGGTTAATCTGGGCCCGCTCATGGTGACAAAACAGACTTTAAAATTATTGAAACGTATGGTTGACAAAACAAGAAAGAAATGTGTTATTCTGCAATGGAGAATATGGAGGACAAAGCCATTTCCTGTGCAAAAGCTAGGACATGAACATGACAGTACATGTTCGCTTCGCAATGATGGTTTAACACCTTTTCAGTCTAGGAGTTTACATACTCTTACTGCTATTACAGCACTTTATGGCTTCCAAGCACTGTACAAACAAATATTAAGGATCACCCCCAGAGTTTCACTCACCAGTGGCTACATGTTAACAATAATATTTTTTATTAACAGAGAGCTTTCCATGTAGCTGTACCAACTGATCAGTGTGTATGGAACTTCCTATAATCATTAATGGACTGTTTAGGACATAGATCCCAAAGAGATGCATCCTTATTCTATTACTATGGCACAGGTTTTTTAAAAGTCGAAAAGTTTTTTCCCCAGCTTCGTGTTTACATACATGACTCCTCGTATCCCTCCTTCGCCTACCTTCCAGCAACTTCCCTCTCTTTACTTTTTGTATTCTGTGACCTGTAGGAACTTATCCTCAGCATTTTAGAATCCTTGATTATCCAGAGCTATTTATTAAGAGGATTTACCTTAATAATCTCTAATCTTTGTTTATTGTTCTTGGGAACTTTGTCACTCCCAACCAATGCAATGTTGAAGCCATCTCCTGAATGTCCAACGATATCGTACTGCAGGAAAGAGAATTAAAGAGTAATCTGTTAAGAATAAGGAGTGACTGCTGACTCAGAATGACATGAGGTCTGATCAAAGGCAATTTGCTTTTAACTAAAAGATAAATACTGACTGCAGTTTACATTTATGATCAGTTTAAAGGAACTGACCACAATTTCTCACTACCACTAAAACACTTTTGCAAGATAAAATTGCCCGAACTAATGAAAATAAGCATCAGTAACTCATTATATTTCTTGGGTCTGATTCTGACTCATTCCACCAGCTTTACAGTGGTGTTAAGTGAGATTAGAATCTTAGCTTTTCACACTGCCCATTTTATCTGTAGAGTTACAATTTACTCTCTTCTCCCTGCAATCTGGCACACAAGAAGTGGATTGTTAAAGAGTAGCTCTGATGTTTGAAAAGCTGTTTATGTGACCTCCGTTCTGATCTGGAAAAAAAAAAAAGTGTTACGTGCTATTTTTTAAAATCCATCCTTCACTTTTTAGGTCTGCACAATAGATCAAAACCTATGGCTGGAAATACCCAGAGGGGTGAGTTCCAAGAGCCCCATTATGTTTTCTGATTTTTAATAACGATAATAATAGGATTGCATTCAGCATACTTTGGGCTTAGTAGAGAAACAAATCCAGTACAATAATGGTCACACGGTGAAAGCACAGTGCTCAGTATTCAATACCGTATCGCTTCCAAAAATTATATATATTTTGTCCAAAACAATATGGGTTACTTTCTAAATTACATAAAGTGCAGAGATGAGGTTCTCTTGCGTTTAAGGTTGTATGACTCTTTCGTAATGTACTATCTCTTTGGTCTGGACCTTCTAATTTCTTCCCCAGATGGCTGTTCTGACACTGATGTTAGCGTACCAACTTTAAGGGTTTCAGAGCAGCAGCCGTGTTAGTCTGTATCCGCAAAAAGAAAAGGAGGACTTGTGGCACCTTCGAGACTAACAAATTTATTTGAGCATAAGCATTTGTGAGCTACAGCTCACTTCATCGAGCTGTAGCTCATGAAAGCTTATGCTCAAATAACTTTAAGGGGGTATTCCATATTTTGCTGCCTGGGAATACCACCCTGCTGCTTAGCACAAGACAATACTGAATGAGTCTTTCACTCTGAAGCTACTAGGTTCAACTTGAATTTAGATGATTTGTGAAAATAGGGTTTGAGTAGCTCCTAGTCCACACATCACAAAACCAAGTCACAGTTTGATATGCTTCTCATTCCTGTATGAGAGAGATCCATGACTAGTGTCTATGGGCAACTGCAGGCCAAGGCAAAAAGTTATCTGAAAAACTACTTGGAAGCTTGAGCACCTGGCTGCAGTAGGACTGACTTAATCAATGCTATTAGTCTCACACTTTAAGAATCATTAGCACAAAAAGGCTTACGAAAGCAGCTTCCCAAATAACAACTATTATAAAGAGAAGTCAAATGCAGAACATCTTGGCCTTCTGTTTATCTTTCAGTGTCTAGCAGCAGACAATGCTTTTTCTCATGAATGCCATTGGGAGAAAAGATTAAGTAAGAATTAAGAACTTTGGGTGTGACCCTGGTGGAGGTTTTTTTTTTTTTTTTTTTTAAACATAATGCAAGTTAGCCTCACACATTAGCCTCACAAGCATGGCTGCACACACAAGGGAGATTAAAGAGGCTATAAACATAAAAAATTCAGTAATAATGGGGGATATCAACTATTCCCATATTGACTGGGTACATGTCACCTCAGGATGGGATGCAGAGATAAAGTTTCATGACACCTTAAATGACTGCTTCTTGGAGCAGATAGTCTTGGAACCCACAAGAGGAGAGGCAATTCTTGATTTAGTCTTAAGTGGAGCACAGGATCTGGTCCAAGAGGTGAATATAGCTGACCCACTTGGTAATAGTGACCCTACATAATAAAATGTAGCATCTCTGGGGGGAGGGAGAACACCAAAGCAGCCCACCATGGTAGCAATTAATTTCAGAAAGGGAACCTACACAAAAATGAGGACATTAGTTAAACAGAAATTTAAAGGTACAGTGCCAAAAGTGAAATCTCTGCAAGCTGCATGGAAACTTTCTGAAGACACCATAATAGAGGCTCAATTTAAACGTATATCCCAAATTTAAAAACACAGTAAGAGGACCAAAAAAGTGCCACTCTGGCTAAACAACAAAAGTAAAAGTAAAAGTAAAAGTAAAAGAAGCAGTTAGAGGCAAAAAGGCATCTTTTAAAAAGTGGAAGTTAAATCCTAACAAGGAAAATAGAAAGGAGCATAAACTCTGGCAAATGAAGTGTAAAAATATAATTAGGAAGGCCAAAAAAGAATTTGAAGAACAGCTAGCCAAAGACTCAAAAAGTATCAGCAAAAAATGTTTAAGTACATCAGAAGCAGGAAGCCTGCTGAACAACCAATGGGGCCACTGGACGATCAAGATGCTAAAGGAGCGCTCAAGAGAGATAAGGCAATTGTGGAGAAACTACATGAATTTTTTGCATCAGTCTTCGTGGCTGAGGATGTGAGGGAGATTTCCAAACTTGTCCCAGCTTGAGGTGTCATTAGAGGAGGTTTTGGAACAAATTGATTAACTAAACAGTAATAAGTCATCAGGACCAGATGGTAGTCACCCAAGAGTTCTGAAGGAACTCAAATGTGAAACTGCAGAACTACTAACTGTGGTATGTAACCTATCATTTAAATCAGCTTCTGTACCAGATGGCTGGAGGATAGCTAATGTGACACCAATTTTAAAAAAAGACTCCAGAGGTGATTCCGGTAATTCCAGGCCAGTAAGCCTAACTGAAGTACCATGCAAATTGGTTGAAACTATAGTAAAGAACAGAATTATCAGACACATAGATGAACACGATTTGTTGGGGAAGAGTCAACATGGTTTTTGTAAAGGGAAATCATCCCTCACCAATCTACTAGATTTTTCTGAGAGGGTCAACAAGCATGTGGACAAGGGGGATCTAGTGGATAAAGTGTACTTAGATTTTCAGAAAGCCTTTGACAAAGTCTCTCACCAATAGCTCTTAAGCAAAGGAAGCTGTTATGGGATAAGAAGGAAAGTCCTCTTATGGATCAATAATAAGTTAAAAGATAGGAAACAAAGGGTAGGAATAAACGGTCAGTTTTCACAATGGAGAGAGGTAAATAGTAGTGTCCCCCAAGGATACCAGTACTATTCAACATATTCATAAAAGATCTGGAAAAAGGGGTAAACAGGGAGGTGGCAAACTTTGCAGAGGATACAAAACTACTCAAGATAGTTAAGTTCCTGTGAAGAGCTACAAAGGCATCACAAAACTGGATGTCTAGGCAACAAAATGGCAGACAAAATTCAGTGTTGATAAATGCAAAGTAATGCACATTGGAAAACATAATCCCAATACATATAAAATGATAGGGTCTAAATTAGCTTTTGTCACTCAAGAAAGAGATCTTGGAGTCATTGTAGATAGTTCTCTGAAAACATCCACTCAATATGCAGAGGCATTTAAATGATTAGGGGTATGGAACAGCTTCTACGTAAGGAGAGATTAATAAGAGGCTGGGAATTTTTGGCTTGGAAAAAAGACGAGTAAGGGGGGATATGATAGAGGTTTATAAAATCATGACAGGTGTGGACAAGAAGAACAGAGAAGTGTTGTTCACTCCTTCTCATAACACCAGAACTAGGAGCCACTAAATTAAATTAATAGGCAGCGGTTTAAAACAAACAAAAGGAAGTATTTCTTCACACAACACACAGTCAACCTGTGGAACTCTTTGCCAGAGGATGTTGTGAAGGCCAAGACTATAACAGGGTTAAAAAAAGAACTAGATAAATTCCTGGAGAATAAGTCCATCAATGGCTATTAGCCAGGATGGGCAGGGATGCAAAACTATGCTCTGAAGTGTCCCTAGCCTCTGTTTGCAAGAAGCTGGGAATGGGTGACAGAGGATGGATCACTTGACGGTTACTTGTTCTGTTCATCCCCTCTTAAGCACCTGGCATTGCCCACTGTGGGAATACAGTATACTGTGCTAGATGGACTATTAGTCTGACCCAGTATGGCCGTTCTTATGTTCTCTTTAGAGTTGATTTACAGCCCATGTGTGTTACAGCACAAATCAAATAGCCCAGTAATGCTTAAATTGGTGCAAGCTTCATTGACTTAATTGATTATTGCACTACTTGGTGCTGAATTTTCTAATACCATCCCTGTGAAAGATTTTACTCTGGGTATACAAACTGCAAAACACAAGTCTCCCTAAATATCATCTTTTAGTTCATTACTTTTCTTCAGAAGTTAGTAAAAGTTCATTCCACTCTGCTGTTAAATACAGCACATACTGTGTTGTTGCTACTGTGCAATTCAGAAAGTGTGCGTGAAATGAGAAAAATATCATCTTCCACTGCTGCTACCGCACTCTGCACCGAGATGTTGCTTTTTTCAAAGGAGTAAGGAAAAATGAAAGGCCATGTGTGTTGAATGGAAAATGTATTACAAATCAGACAGGCTTTTGCTGGAAGGAATACCAGCTTCCAAATCCCATCCTGTTCTGGACAACACTAAATATACCCTTTAATACTTTTATTTAGCCTGCCACCCACTTGACTTTAAAAAAGAAATTATGTTGCCAAGCATTACAGAACATTTCTGCTTTTTCCTCTTCCACTTAAATGGCACTGCCTCTAACGTCAGCTTCTCAGCTGTGGCCTCCCGAATTGTGTATACAAAATGTGTAATGCTCCCTTTTAATATCACTATAAATCAAAAACTTAAGACGTTTCCCCAACAATTATATAGCTTGCAGTTCATGGAACCATTTCTGAAGATTTTTGAAACCCTCATAAAACCTTTGCTGCATAGTCTAATAACAGAGTTATGGCTCTTGATCTAAAACCATAGGACTTTGTACTTTATGTAAAGCACAGAACTAACGTCCATCTTAGGAGGTACTGCATTTTCAAATAGGTTCACCATGTAAGATGGACAACACTAGAAAAGATGCTA